CTGAGAGAAAGTGCAAAAGAGCGAGTGGAAAGAGAGAGAAACAGAGAGAGAAAGAGAATGAAAGAGAAGAGAAAGAAACAGAGAAAAAGATTTATTTACACTCAGAAAAATAACAAACCCTGTCATTTGACTGAGGCTGTTCGGCACTCATCTGTATGTAAACGAGGCTTCTGCGGGTTCTAACTGTTCTCGATTGCTGTGGCTTTATCAGCGCATAGGATCCTCTGACTGTTCAGGTTTCTGTTGGCAGATCAACTACAAACATCGGCACTCAAGCGTTCAAGCGTTCAAGCTTTCCGACAATAAAGACCAATGATTTTTATTTGCTTACTCCAACATTTCTACCATACTAGGCTGTTATGAGCTTTAACACACTGTCTCTGTCCATAAGTTGCTGGACGCAGGACGGCGCGCAGGGCTGAGGTGGATAAAACCAGCGAGAACGTTCTAGTGACCTCGTACTGGATTACATAAAGAGCTGGAGAGCTTCAATTGGGTTTCACAAGGCTTCGTCATCCGGCCGCCAGGAACACGAAATACCACAGAACCGCTCTCCTCTTCCATTACCTCACGCAAACAGAACACGCTCTTCCCAGTCAAGTCCGAGCTTGAGTCGATCCGCTCCTGAGCCACAGACTAATTCAGCTCTGAAGCACGTCTAAATCATTATCTGTGTTCTAACACACAGGCCGGGTTCTCAGTGCCGTGCGAGTTAGCGTCTGGCAAGCTAGAGTCTTTGAAACAACAATGGAATTACTGGAAAAAGTGCCGGCGCACCCTTTGATTGATCACACCGATATGAAGATGTGCTCCAACTTGCTGCGTCTGGAAGTCTCTCCGAGAAACTCCCACGAATTAAACGGTAAAGCTAAAACTAGCAATTAGCTCACCTTTGGCAAAAGGAAAGAAAACATGCTTGATGACCGAAAATGATGCCTTGGCAATATATGCTACATTCAGATTACTGTGAGTCAACCTCCTTATATCTACACTCACCATGCTATCGGCTCCATTGACTATACAGGTGCACTTTGTAGTTCTACAGTTACAGACTGTAGTCCATCTGTTTCTCTACATACTTTGTTACCCTGTTCTTCAGTGGTCAGGACCCCCATAGAGCAGGTATTATTTGGATGGTAGGTCATTCTCAGCTGCTGCTGGAGTTTTTAAACACTGTGTCCACTCACTGTCCACTCTTAGACACCCCTACCTTGTTGGTCCACCTTGTAGATGTAAAGTCAGAGACGATAGCTCATCTGGTGCTGCACAGTCCTTCATTAGTGGTCACAGGACGCTGTTGGCTGGATGTTTTTGGTTCTCAGTCCAGCAGCGACACTAAAAACTCCAGCAGCACTGCTGTGTCTGATCCACTCAGACCAGCGCAACACACACTAACACACCACCACCACGTCAGTGTTACTGCAGTGCTGAGAATGACCCACCACCCAAATAGTACCTGCTCTGTGAGGGTCCATGGGGGTCCTGACCACTGAAGAACAGGGTAAGAAAGTATGCAGAGAAACAGATGGACTACAGTCTGTAACTGTAGAGCTACAAAGTGAAACTATGTGGTCAGTGGAGCTGATAAAATGGACAATGAGCGTAGAAACAAGGATACAGTACATATTGGCTTAGTTTATATAGTACATATGATTTTCAAACTTAAGTGCAGAATTTGACTTGTTGTAAGTCATTATATTTACAGAAGGGGTGCCAAAACTTTTTGCCTTGGGGGGGTAAAAGTGCAGTGTATGTGGTGGGCTAAGGGTCAAAGAGACAAAACAATATACTAATGAAGAAGACAGGTCAGTTTTCGAGTTTCTATCACTGTAATTTATGACAGGACACTGTATTTCTATAGCTTCTGTGAATACAGTCAATTCAGAGCCAACATTGCCTGCATTGATGGATCGTTAGCGGCAGATTAGCGAGGTCAGATCAGGGTACGTTCACTGATGTGTGTGTGTGTGTGTGTGTGTGTGTTTGTGTGTAGGGGGCGTGTATAAGTGTGTGTAAATGTTGTTGTGCTTCTCCAAACTCCACTCTCACTTTAACCTCAGCAACCACAGAATCACCTTCAGCATCGACCATCCTCGTAGAGGAAGACTAATGTCCCCACAATGTCTAAATGTCCATGTTAGCATTAAACTGAAGACATCAGGAAAAGAAAGATAAGAGTTGATAAGTCCATCACTAACAGGAGTAAACAGCCATCACTGTGTTCACAAAGTGTGACCTCTTCATTCTTTATTGACACGTAAACAAAAAGAAAGCAATAAACAAAGAAATCAAGTAAAAGAACAATCAAAGAAAGAGAAAGAAAGAAAGAAAGAAAGTGAAAGCAAGAAAAGTGAAAGAAGATAAAACGAAAAAGAGAAAGAAAAAATTAAGGAGAAATATAAGAAATTAAGGAGAAATATAAGAAATAAAATAAAGAATAAGAAAGAAAGAAAGAAAATGAAAAAGCAAACAAAAAAGAAAAAAGATACATGAAAGAAAGAAAGAAAGGAAGGAAGAAAAACAAAAAGAAAATTAAATATATAAATAAACAAGAAGAAATAGAGGAGAAATAAAACATCAAAAAAAAAGAAAAGAAAAACAAAAGGTAAAAGATAAATGAAAGAAAGAAGAAGATGAATAAAATGGAATGGAAGAAAGAAATATACAAAAAGAAAAACTAAATATATAAACAAAGGAAAAGAAATTTAGGAGAAATAAAAAATAAAAAGAAATATATAAAGAAAGAAAGAAAAATGAAAAGAAGAAAAGAAAATGAAAATAAAGCTGATCGTTTATGTTAATAATAATAATGATTATTATTATAATCCGTGTGTTTAATGTTCGGTGTGATGTCACAGGTACAGCAGTGAGATGATCTGCAGCAGAACACAGTGTTTCCACTGTAACGAGCTGAACTTTCATTTACAGCCACTGAACCTCCCAACTAATCACACTGTAACGACTGAGGAGCACAAACACGCACAGCCACGCTGTGAACACAACGGCGGCCAAAGGTGAGCGAGGCCGTTAAAGAGAGCGAGTGAAAGCGGTAGAGTGAGGGGAGAAAGAAAAACAGAGAGCGAGAACATCTCAGGAGATAATTGTCCTGTCAGAGACCTGCCTTTCTGGTTAGAGACGAGGCCTCCGCCCTGATTGGCAGCCACTTATTTACTTTAGCGCTGCAGAGGAACAGCTGAGAACCCTCTCTCTCTCTCTCTCTCTCTCTCTCTCTCTCTCTCTCTCTCTCTCTCTCGTTCTAATAAAAGCTGCAGTTTTTGTTGAAAAAGCATTTGTCCAACAAATATATATATATCTATATTAAACATACTCAACAACTACGCTATTTGGCCAAAAGTATGTGGACACCTCTTTATTATTGAGTTCAGGTGTTTCCGCCACACCCATTACTAACAGGTGTATAAAATCAAGCACATAGCCTCGCAGCCTCCATAGACACACACTGGCAGTAGAACGGGTCACACTGAGGAGCTCAGTGACTTTAAATGTGGCACCGTTATAGGATGCCACCTCTGCCACAAGTCAGTGTAGTTTCTGTCCTGCTAAATCTGCCCTAGACAACCTTAAGTGCTATCATTGTGAATTGGAAGCATCTAGAAGCAACAACAGCTCAGCCACAAAGCGGTAGAACATGCAAACTCACAGAGTGAGACTGTGACTTCTTCATTCTTTATTGAGACAGGTAAGAAAGAAAGAAAGAAAGAAAGAAAGAAAAATGAACAAAAGAAACAAACAAAAAAGAGAAAAAGATCAATAAAAGAAAGAAAGACAGAAACAAGGAAGAAAGAAACAATAAGAAAAATGTATAAATGAAGAAAAAGAAATTAAGGAGAAATTAAGAAATGTAAGAAAAAAGAAATAAGATAAACAAGGAAAAGAGAAAGAAAGAAAAAAGAAAGATGGTAAAAGGAAGAAAGAAACAAAAAGAAAATGAATATATAAATAAAGCACAAAATTAAGGAGAAATAAAAAAATAAAAGAAATAAAACAAAAAAAGAAAAAAGAAAAAGGGAAAAACAAAGAAAGAAAGGAGCGAGAAATAAAAAAGAAAGAGAGAAAGAAAAAAAGAAATATAATTTAAGAAATGTAATAAAGAAAAGAAATAGGATAAAAAGAAAAAGGAAAAGAGACAGAAAAAAGAAAAAGGAAAAGGAAAAAGAAACAAAAAGAAAAATAAGTATATGAATAAAGAAAAAGAAATTAAGGAGAAATAAAAAAATATTGTTTTGGAGCAACAAATGGAGCAACAACAGCTCAGACATGCAAACTCAGAGCGAGACTGATGAGTGCAAAAATTAACAGACATTTAAAGCATGTAAGCAACATATTTTGTAGTGTTTTGTATTGAGGTTTAACAGTTAATCACACTGTAAGTACTTTAATTCAGGCCTGTGATATTAATGATGGAGCTGTTTAGGCTGTTGGCTCTTTTAGCCTGTTAGCTGGCTGACCAGCCGGGTTCTAGTTAAGAACATAAGTTGCCAGCTGCTCAGTTTAAACAGAACCGGGGTTTTTACTTCATCAGTAAACTCAGCGCTCCATGTGAACAGCATTATCATATGCAGCTTCAAGTGCAGCCCAGTCCATCAGATTTTAGGACGGGAACTTTCCATTTTAAAAACTGTTTCAATACATTGTTGTTTGTCAACATTTTAAGCAGGTATGTATCATTCTTCCCTCCTAACCACAGGACTTCTCCAAGATCCACCCATGAAAACTCAAACAATTCCAAATATACTCCCTGTAGTATTTCTAATCTCCTGCCAGTATGATTCAACTATTAGACATCTCAAAAAAACATGAAAGTGGTCAGCCATCTGGGCACCACACGGCGCCCACTGTCTTATTTTGCCTAATAGAGGTCTTCTTTTAGAAGTTAAAAAAAACCTAACCAAATACTTCCCAATAAACTCTCTTAATAAGCAATAAAAGTGAAAATAAAAGTACTTTATTCTAAAGTTTATCCTCTTTTGAATACTTACTGCTGTTTGACACGTATAATCTCCTGTTCCGTCTCTCTCTGCAGCTCTATCAGTCCGAGATGACTCTGTGTGATCAAACTCCGCAAATTCCCAACACTGTCGCTGCTCTTCTCCGTAAAATCCTGCAAGGAGACACAAATCAGAACATTTCATCATCAAAAATCTGAATGGTGAACTGTGATGTTTACGTATCTATACATACTTACTACACTGGCCACTTTACTGGAAACACTCACCTTGTACTTCCACTAACTGGCCATTATATTAGAAACACTCACCTTGTACTTCCACTAACTGGCCATTATATTAGAAACACCCACTTTGTGCTTCCTCTAACTGGCCACTTTATTAGTAACACACACCTTGTGCTTCCATTCACTGACCACTTTGTTAGAAACACCTGTTTTATATATCACTATATTAGTATTACTGTATCTACACAAAGACATAACTGCATAAACAGGATGACACACGCGTCAGTCACACGCAGGAACACGTGCGTCGAGTGTTACACAGTCATGAGAACCAGCCCTCCACGTTTTCTCTGCGTTTTTAAATATCCTTCGATGGCCAAACAAAACGACCTTAAAAAACACAATAGAATGACTAATGCGTTATGTGGGCATTTTGGCCGCGGGCGCTGGACGCCAGCGTCGGCTCACAGATGGAAGTGACTGGCAGTGACAGGCGGCTCACAGGCCACGTCAATCTGCACAATCTGCTCCCTCCGACATCCGCACGTTTCACAGAGCGTCCGCAGCCTCGCTTTAACAAGTCGAGCGAATTAAGCGGGATTCAGTGGGAGATCGGGACCCGTGCGTGTGCTCAGCACTGCTCTGGGTTTTTTGGTACATGTACTCAAACTGAGTGGGGAAAAACTGCAGGGGTCAGTGATGACGTAGCTGATTAAGGTGGTCCTTAGTTGTTAAGTGGTATAATGTGTCCCCAGCTAACGTCTCCACTTACATTAAATATTCAAATTCTCATCAAAGTAAAACACACACACACACATTTTCAACTGATTGAAAGATAAGAGAGGATAAATAAGGGCTGTCCGTCACCAGGTGTGGAAGACCCATAGACACCACTGATTTATTCTTCACTTATGCAAAGTAAATAAAAAAAGATAAAGAAATAAGGGGAAAGAAAGAAAGAAATAAATAAAGAAAGAAGAAACAAACAAACAAAACATAAAAAGAACAAAGAAACAAAAGCAAATAACAGAAAGAAAGAAAAAGAAAGAAAGAAAGAAGAAACAAACAAACAAAACATAAAAAGAACAAAGAAACAAAAACAAAGAAAGAAAGAAAGAAAGAAAGAAAGAAAGAAAGAAAAAGACAGACAAGAGAAACCAACAAAGAAACAAACAAACAAAAGGATTAAAAAGATGGAAAGAAAGACAAAGAGAAATAAAAAGATAGAAAGGGAAAAATTAAAGAAAGAAAGAAAGAAGAAACAAACAAAACAAAGAAACAAAAGAAAGAAAGCAGAAGCAAAAAACAAAAAAGACAGACAAGACAAAGACTAAGAGAAATAAAAAAGACAGAAAAGGAAACATTACAAAATTTAAGAAAGAAAGAAAGAAAGACGAAAATGTCCCCACAATGTCCACCATCCTAGGGGAAGCAGGTCCCCACACAGGACCTTAAATACACACACAAACACACACACACTCCTCCTGAATATGAGTGGGCCTCAGCGCCTGAGTCCCCGTTAATCCCCCCAACAGCGAGGCAGCGGACGTTCTGTGTTTGGGGGGAGCAGATCACTGCTGTCCTGGTCCTGTGTGTCACTGATTACCTCAGAAGGTGTTCAGTGATGTGATCAGAGGTCACACCTATGTTTAGCACCGCCCACTTATGGTCAGATCACCCACGATGGCTGATAACGTCCGGCATGAACGAGGCCTTTGAGCGTGAAACTGTAGGGATGCACGATACGGATCAAATACCACATCGCAATTCTATCAACACACAATGCACTCGCAGTACACATCTAAAAAAAGATGTTCTTCACTTCTTTAGTAAAGAAAATGGTTCTACATAGCACCGAAAAGGGTTCTTCTATTGTTATGATGATATAGTTCTAGCCTGTAACAATAGCAGAACCCTTTTTGGTGCTGTTTAGAACCATTTTTAATAAAGTTCTACATAGAACCCTCTACAGCACCCTCTACTCTTCATCAATCTGAAGAACAATTCAATGATGCAAAGAACCTTTTAATCATGCAAAGGGTTCTTTCAGTGTTCATGGCTCTATATGGAACCATTTTTTTTACTAAACAACCCCTGAAGAACCAGCTTTTTTAAGAGTGTACAATATATTTACTAAAATATATAACATTCGCTGGATAACATGAACACTTAGATTCAGAACCATATCTAGAACCGAATTTCAGCCACAGAATAAACCAGTTTGTGATATGTTAATTTGGTTCTTTGGTTCATTTGCATATTGAAGTCTTCAGTAACATCAGTACTAATAACAACCTTTATGAACGTGTGGCTTTCCACTTTAGTTACAAATGTTACGTTTTAAACAGGAAGCAGAACATTTAGCTCAAAAAAAGTGCATGTCCAAAAGTATTCGGACAGTCTTTCCAATGAGTGAAGGTACATTAATTGTGCTTCTTCCATGCATAATTTCCATAAAGCTTCCAAAAGCATGGACCAATAGAACTGTATGTTCTGGAATAGCCACACAGGCCACAATGCCTAATGCCAAACATCAGCTAGAGGGGTATAAAGCCCCCCAGCACTGGGCTGTGGAGCAGTGGATGAGTTAGGATCCAGAACTGACCATCCAACATCAGTACCTGACCTCACTGATGCTCAATCAAATCCTCACAGCAATGTTCCAATATCATGTAAAGCCTTCCCAGAAGAGTAGAGGCTGTTACTGCAGCAAAAACTCATTATTAACACCTTCATTTCAGAAGAAACGCAAAAACCGATATCACAATATTAAACTAACGTACGATGTATCGGTGCAGCCCTGCTTGTCTGCACTCATCATGAATCCCCATGACGACCTGGCAGTTGAAGCTAATGACAACTCGACAAACAACCAACGTGCATTCCAGCAAAAGCTGCCACGGCTGACGGCGAGCGCTCGGGTGTGTTTGGAGGAACGAGCCGCGGTGATTCATCATCAGACAGGCCTGGAACAGGTCTGGGACGGAGAGAGGCGGAGGTGTGCAGCCAAAACGCCTCGTGGCTAAGCCTGCAGGCCTACAGGTAGCCAGAACAAACAGGACGTCAAGCTGAAGGACCTGTTTTGGCTACGTACGCTGGGAATTAGCATTGAGGAGATTGGTGAGAGCTATCAGAGAAATGGAGTGGAAAAGAAAGGCTGTTTTATTAAGTCCAGCACCTGTTTGTTCAACTTCTGAAACTCTCACCTCAAATCAGCCAGGATATATTAAAGCAATAAGCCAAAAGAGGCCTACGTTACTGCGATTTTATCATGGAGAAGGGTGCTGTTAGGCACGACTCAAAGCAGAGTAAAACTCCCTTCCCTGTGATAAAATCACTGTAACACATGACCTGGATTATTGGATTATTGCTTTAATATATCCTTTGGTCACCAAATTACCACAGCGAGTCTTCTTTAGCACCAATCCAGTGGTGCTCTCTTCTCATGCTGGGGCTGAATCTCAAACGGCTCCCTGCTCCCTACATAGTGCACTACATAGGAGTTTAAATACTGGATCCTGCAGCCCAACAGAGCAAAATACAGCTAAGAAACAGTCATTTGTGATTCAGACACATCCACACTCGATAAATGATGCACTGTTTGGCTGGAGAGGCTAGAATTTCTAAGCTTTCATAGCTAGAACACTATTTAGGGAGTACGGAGCCGTTTGGGATTCAGCCTGGGTTTGACGTGACTTCTGACAAACACATTTGAAGTGTGTAAAACATTCAAGTGACATTTTTAGACTTTTATACTGCAGTTTTACTGTAAATCAGACCGTAAATACTTCAATTCAAGCCTGTGATATTAATGATCGAGTTGTTTAGGCTGTTGGCTCTTTTAGCCTGTTAGCTAGCTGACCAGCCCGGTTCTAGTCAAAAACATAAGGTGCCAGACGCTCAGTTTAAACAAAAAATGGGTTCTTACTACATCAATATGCTCCATGTGAGCAGCATGAGAGTCAAGGATTATTCCATCACCAGCACAAGGCTTTTTTTTGTGTCATGGCGTAATAATACACAATTCAGTCGCTGTGATGCGGTCATAGGTGTGGATTTTACAATGACAATGGCTCAGCTAATCAGATTTTAGGACCAGAACCATCCGTTTCATAAAGGGTGTCTAACGTTTGCTTCTTTAGCTTCAGCACTGGCTAACGGGGCTAATGTAGCTAACAAGTAATAGAAGCTTGTACCACGGCAACTGGGCAGTTTCAGGCCTCAGGATGGCTACTGTTTTTAGCCATGCTAATGTGGGTTTGTTCATGTTTACAGATAGCAATTAGCATCATGCAAACTCTATGGCTAAATTATGATATACTTAACATAGCGTTGAGTTGTTATGTAATCTCAAATAGCCTCCATATGTGGTTTCTGACAATATATGACAAGCTTTTATATATAAGTAAAGACAAAAATTTGTCTATGTTTATAGATAACAGCAGATCATACAGTGTCAGAAACCAAGTTTGAGATTACTGAACATCTTCACATGGTTTGAGGTGAGTGTACAACGATTTAGGCAGGCAGTTAGCACCACGCTAATGCATATGTGGTTTCTGACAAGCTTTTATCTATAAGTAAATACAAAAGCATGCTAGCATAGCTAAAAATAATAGTTAACACCTTCATTTCTGTCCATGTTTATAGACAAAAGATCATACAGTGTCAGATAGTCTATCTGAGATTACTCAACATCTTCTAATGTGTGGAGTCCAAGCTTTGATTAGCTGCTAGTAATATTAGCGCAACAAGCAGTAGTGTCACGTTTAAAAAAATGCTACAAACAACAAGTAAATATTTAAGAAGAAGCAAGTTTAAATTTAAGCTAAATTGGTAAAAATTAATAAACTAAGATGATGTCACTGGGCTGCGATCCAATCAGCTGCTTTTCACTGTACAGTTTATGCAGTTACTCTTTGCTGTTGTTGTTGTTTGTGGCTGCCTCTCTGTTATTGGCCTTTTTATAATCCATTCAATGGTCTAGCCATACAGTTAGCATGTTACTAATTGGTGTACATAAACTTCTATGCCTTGTTAGCCACATCAGCCTTGTAACTCTTGTGCAAAACCAAAAAAGCAACCACAAGTCTTGGCTGATTTACTACACTAAGGCAGGGAATTTGACTGTTTGCCGTATTATCGCTTTAATAAGAGACAAGACCACAAAAGCTTTAGTCAAAACAAAACTCCAGGGTTACCAGAAGTGACTCCAGCTTCTGAGCTGTCCCAGATTACTCAATGACCCGTGGACAAAAAAGTACAGCTAATGAAAGGGAAACAAAACTACTGGAATGCAGACTAAACAAACACTGGACATGTCTGAAAGAGTTGGTGTTTTTAGAGCAGGATTGCTCACAATAAAGTCCTCTAATCTCTAATGAAAAGCACTTGCAAAATTGAATTAAATCAAAAGCGAAAAAACATGGGTACGTCCAAGGTAAACCGGAAAAACAACACAAGACGCTCTGCGCAAGCTGAAAAACCCCCAAATCTCCCTAAGAATCAACAGATACTGACAGGTCCGTCTTCAGAATTCATGCAAATGAGCAGGTTTATCTTCGAGAAAGCATGAAAAACTTTGGTACATATATACAAATTCACTCTGCAAACTTTAAGATTAGTATATATAGTGTTACTCACAAACCCAAAGCCAGAAGAAGAGCCAAAGGCACTCATGTTGCTCGTTTCAGGGTCGACGACAGTGTTTTGAATCCTGTCCTGTTGCCGTGAGTGCAAATGTGACCTTCTTCACCAGCCAGCCCACTGCTGAGTGTGTGTGTGTGTGTGTGTGTGTGTGTGTGTGTCTGATTGATCATTCTCTATAACCCCCCACTACCCCCGCCCGGAGACTTAAAACCTGGCGGGGGACAAGATTAAGAGTTTCTAGAAGAGCGTGTGCACTCGCGAGTGAACGCCAGTTAACAGTTTCACCCTAACCTATGCTAACGCCTTAGCTTAGGCATCGATGGGAAAGTTCCTTTGTAATGTAATTACAGGGGAATCCCACTCAAACGTCTGCATAATTAAACGGTTAAGATGTAAACAGAGTCATTCAGAGTGGTTTTGCTCCTTTCTGGAGTCAGAACTGTTCACAGTGGTGGTGATAGGAACCAGACGTCCACCTCTAAAAGCTCCCTCACAGAAAGTTACTACGTGAAATGGTTATGAATTCACTGCCTGATGACTGAGACACTGTTTAACGATAGGTTTGACAAATTTTTTGAAAATCAATTATGGCGGAGAAGTATGGCTGTGTGCAAAAGTTTGTGCGCCCCTGGTCAAATGATGTGTTGATTTTCTAATTGTAAATAAGTAGATGTCATACTTAAACAGTAGTGCCAAGTTTCAAAATACTATGAAAACAAATCATAAATAAATACTTAACAAGAAACAGGTTTAAATTCAAACTAAATTGATAAAAATGAATGAATAAACTAAGATGATGTCATTGGGCTGCGATCCAATCAGCTGCTTTTCACTGTACGATTTATGCGGTTACTCTTTGTTGTTGTTTGTGGCTGCTGTTGTTTACAGCCTCTCTGTTATTGGCCTTTTATGATCCTTTCAATGGTCTAGGCATGCAGTTAGCATCGTGCTAATTGGTGTGCTTAAGCTTCTATTCTTTGTTAGCCACATTAGCCTTGCAAGTACATTAAAAAAAAAACAAAGAAGCAAAAGCAAATTTATGTTTTTGTTGATTTTCTAAATGTAAATAAGTGAAAACATCCTTTACAGAAAGCACATTTTAATGCATGATTTCTGTGTATTTGCTGAATCTAACATAACGAGCTTGTGCAAAAAAAAAGTTATGGCATATTTTACATTTTGTTTTATTTTTTCCAACATGTTAAACTAAGCTAATAAATAAAAATTGTGTATTAAATTAGGACATTTTGGCTTATTTTCAAGTCAACAAAACATGTAAGGCCAAAGAAAACGTATTATCAGATTTTCCACTATTTTTCCATCATCAACATTCCATATAAACTCAGAAGACTCGTGTAGGTTCACTGGTGGTTTTGGATAGTAAATAAAATGGCTATATCTGTGTTGTAGTCATGGCGACCCCTGGTTCCTATCACCACCACTGTAAAGAAATCTCAATCTGTAAGTGTTTCTACAATCATCAAACCACTTTGAATGACTTTGTTTACATCCTACAACATTGAATTATGCATATTGTTGTCCTGATTGAATTGCCCTTTAAAATCACTTGTAAAACTTTAAATGATTTATAAAAACGATGTTCACAAATTGTGCATTTTAATGCTTTATCACAGCCACTATCAAATGATCTATGCACATTTTCACATTAAATGTACTTTTTAATTATGTGAATTGTCCCATATGATCATGTTCAGATCAAATCTGTGTGCAAATGTTTTATAAATGAAGCTCCAGGGTTATTATAGTTATGAACGACCCATATCATTTAATTTTCTTGTATTTTATTCTTTCCCCTGAGACATTTGTGTGGTTTTACTTACCAAATATTCATTTTCCAACCTTTAAACAGGCTGTTTTTGTTACTGCACCTTTAAGAATGATATATGTAAATGAGCTCTGTACTGATTGGCTGCTCTGTCTCATCCAAAACACTACTGCTGTGCTAATTTAGCTTTGCAAAAATGGTGGAAGGTAACAAAAAACAAGAAGTCCAACTTAGAAGTACTTTAGCATTCAGCTACCTGTCGACATTTAGCTAATTTTGTCTTAAACCACCTCGACAAGCCTGTGTGACCTTACTAAAGACCTGGATGTGGTGAGTGAGCTGAGAGAAGTGTTGGAGGATGCATTCACATAAATGATTTGGGTGACTACTGACTTACAGTGTTAGCAACTTTAGCCTCGTAGCTCCAGTTTTGGTGAAACATAATTTTCCACTTCAAATGCAGCTGATCAGCCGAGAGATGTTTGGTGTCCAAAATTCGCTACTTTAGCTTTAGTACTCAACGTTTCAAACCAACACTGGAAGTCAATAGTCACCCAAACTGTTTCGGTAAATATTTCCCCAAAACGTCTTTCAACCTGCATCTAGGTCTCAATTAAGCTTGTGCAGACTTGTTGATGTGGGTTAGAACACAGTATGACTCACTGTGAATCACTATATAAACAAAAAAAAATTAAAGCCAAAAGCCACAGTCTGCATCAGTTGGAAATCTGTGGCAAATTTTGCTCGTAGATTTCTTGGTTCTGTCTTTTGCAACACCTCATTTTCGCAGGTTTATCATTATTTGATATACGACTTCTAACTCTCTCCCAGTAAGAAAGCCTGACATATCACTGTGCTAATGCTGCGCTCCTGCATAGTGACTTTTTAAAACAAACCCCAGGATTTGAAGAGTGGAATTTTATCGGGAAGCAGGACGTTACGCAGATGATAACGCAGCTCCAATCTTAGCTTAAATGTGTAAGGTTATGCCATTTTACTAAATGTTTACATAGCTTATGAAGCAAATATATGAGGATTTGTGCATGTATTTGTGAAAACAGTCTTGGTGACTATTGACTTCTAGTGTTTGTTAGCACCTTTAGCCTAGCAGCTCTAGTACTAAATAGGTCCGAACAATTTGGGGAAAATATCTAATTGCGATTTTTCTGACTGCGTTTTTTAAACTGAGATTCAGGCCTGATTTTTTTGGCCAAGAAGACCAGAATATTCACCTTTTCCATCATGAGCCTTGACCTCTGAACATACTGTGCCAAACTGCCAGCAAGTTGTGGTTGTGATGTCACAACCCATGGAGGTTTGGAGGCCTCTGATTGGTCCAACTCATGTACAGGTGCTTCACAAACTCTTAGTAGGTTCAGTTTCCCCTCTTAAAATGAACGTTTTGCTAACGTACGTGCTTAAAAAAGACTCTTCAAGGGTTCTTTAGTAAAGATAATGGTTCTATATAGAACCACAAACACTCTAGGAGGCTGTGCGTGCATAAAAAGTTCTTTGTATGGTGAAATGGTTCCTCAGATTGATTGAGAATGTGCTATAGATGGTTCTATATAGAACGTTTAGAACATAACAATAGCAGAACAATAGCAGAACCCTTCTTGGAGCTATATAGAACCATTTCCAATACATTCTCTATCAATCTGAGGAACCATTTCACCATGCAAAGAACTTTTTAAGCATGCAAATGGGTCTTTGAGTGTTTATGGTTCTATATAGAATCATTGTCTTTAATAAATGGCTATCTTTTTTAACAGTGTAGGCCATAATTTTAAAAAATTGCACATTTCTTGCATCTTAAATTGTGATTTCACTATAAAACGATTAATCTTTCAGCTCTAGGACTAAACCAAACATGTCGTGACCAACTGACCGAGTTAAATATTGTGCACATTAGATTTTTTGCCAAATCGTTCCTTTAAAACGATAGAAAAAAAACTGATTTAACAAATTTGGTCTGAGCATTTGATGGAGCAAACTGACCGAACTCACACACACACAGACCAAACGCCACAGACGAGTGGGAGTGTGTACCAGAACATCTCGTACTGGAGTTTATTCAGATATGACCAGTAGCACTACGAATAAACAAAGCCTTTAAAAAAACCACCTTCACAGCAGGAATGTTACAGCACCAAACGCTCTGTTTCTCAGAGCAAGGCACTAAATAATTTCACCAAAAATGGAAGTGGTCAGGAACTGAGGGTGGGCACAGACTACAGGGGGACGTTTCCGTCCAAACCACAGGGCAAAGCCGCATTCCTGCACAGATCTGCTCCAATAACACGAAATCCAGAACGGGACATCCTTATACTCACCGCAGCACAGCCAAGAGCAAACATCTGTCTCAGTGCGTATGCAAAAGTGTGTGCGCCCCTGGCTAATCAAGCGATGGTGTTCTGAGTGTAAATAAGCGAACATGTCCTCTACTGAGAACACACTTCTGCTCCTTTTAATGAACTATTACTGTTTATTTACTGAACTTAACATAAGAAAAACGTATGTGGCCTGTGCACAAGTTATGGCACATTTTATATTAGCAAATGCATAGAATTGTGTGCTAAAATGAGCATATTTAAGTGTGTTTTCTATGTAGAGCATATCTGGAGAACCTATTTTCGCTTGGAAAATCAACAAAATGCAACTTGACCAGGGGTGCCAAAACTTTTGCATGCAGCTGCATTGTCCATTGCTGCTCTGTAACAGACCAACATACTAACATACTGCAAAGCACTGATGGACGCAGCCACTGTAAAAAGTTTGGATCCACCTGTTCGTAAGTATGATTGTGTGCAAAAGTTTGTACACCCCTAATCACGTTTGGTTGATTTTTTTTATTTTATATATTTTATTTTTATATATGATTTTAATATGGTCGTGCATCCATACACAATATCAGGCTGAACGTATATGAAGCCAAAGTTCTTCAACATAGCGTTAGAATTTTTATTACAATTGGAGAAAAGCATGTCGTTGCTGTGCAAGTATCTCCCCAATGGTAACTTTACAGGAGAAAACTTTCAGAACTTTTAATGTAAGTTAATGCAACGTGATTTTATTCTGAAGCATTTCTATTGTACAGTATAAATGCCAGCTGCTAAACTTAAAATACATAGAAAACTAAAAATTGAAAAAAAATTTGAAAAAAAGATTTGGTCAGTGACGACATTTTTACACGTCCATACTGAAGTTTTGTCTCAAACACTACAAATTAAAAGCCATTTTAACATCAGACCAGCTTCTATAAAAAATAATGTGACAAGACACCATTTAAGAATGCAGAGGAGTTCAAAAGCTGGTA